GTGTGTTTGATGGTGTGTGTGGATGATATGTCACATTGTGTGTTTGGTGTGCCCATGTGTGGGACCGCTCAGGATATTGCACGTGAGAGGCTGCTTGTGGGGTTGTGTGGAGGTATGTTGTTTGTCAGTGGTGTTGTGGTGACTGTGTATGTTTGTGCGTGGGTTGTTTGTATTATTTGTATAAGGCTGAGGCTTCTTCTGCAGCTCTGTGTATATCTAGCAGTGTGAGTGGCTTCCCTGGGGTCCAGTGGGGACTGGTCTGGTGAGGTACAGGTCTTGGGCAGGAACTGCAATAGCTGCTGCGGGCTGCTCTACTCCAGTGTGGATTCCTGTTCACAAGTGCTGGGAGGAAGTGATCTGAGATAATTTTTTCTAAGTGCTACAATATGTTGATTGAGGATTACCAACTAAACAATCAAACAAATTGCCGCACCAACGATCTCATGGAATATCTTTGCCAGTTTTTAGATGCATATCATGTGGATAAAATTTAATATACACATCCTTGGTGCTGGACTTAGTAAAACTCTGATAGAAAAACTTATTCCCAAATGATCCCTAATATCCGTACACTCAGACCTTAGTAGGACATTCCATTGTACACGCCAATCTTCTTAGAAAAGGTACATTTATTTGCAAAAAATATAAACCATGGAAATATAAGCAAAAACCTGCCTAGAACAGTCCTCATATGCACCAGTCCAATATCATATAGTGTGTGAAGATTTGTGTGCAGTGGAATGTACTACTAAGGTCTGAGTGTGCCAATATTAGGGATCGTTTGGGTATAAGTAGTGAGGATTGTCCCTCACCACCTGCAATCATTGCTCGCAGGCCCAGACTGGCCATCGGGCACACAGGGCAAAGATCTCCCTCACCGGCCCACTTGCGTAGACGTTCGGCTGGGGAGGGAGAGGACCCGACAGAGCTCTAACTTACAGCTCCGCCGGGTTCCTCTCGCAAGATCCAGGGCGTTGCCATGCCATGCCCGCAGGCTAGAGTTCACACTAGGACCACCAGGGATGATGTCAGAGTGCTGGTTTCCCCCTCCCAGGTACCACCGTGCCAGTTACCCCCCCCAAGCTAAAGGTAAGAAGGGAGGGGGGATATAATGCCTGCTTAGTTTTTTTTATTTGTTTTTTTACCCCCCCAACAGAAAATCCCTTCTAACATTCACCCACAGCACTCTCACACTCATCACACACATCACTCTCACACACATCACACACAGCACTCTCACACAGATCACACTCAGCACGCTAACACACATCACACTCAGCACTCTCACACACAACACTCTCACCCACATCACTCTCACACACAGCATTCTCACACTCAGTGCTCTCACACAAATCACACTCAGCGCTCTCACACAAATCACACTCAGCGCTCTCACACACAGCGCTCTCACACACAGCGCTCTCACACACATCACACTCAGCACTCTCACACACAGTGCTCTCACACACATCACACTCAGCGCTCTCACACACATCACACTCAGCGCTCTCACACACATTACCCTCACCCACAGCACTCTCACACACATCACACACAGCGCTCTCACACTCAGCGCTCTCACACACATCACGCTCAGTGCTCTCACACACATCACACTCAGCACTCTCACACACATTACCATCACACTCAGCGCTCTCACACTCAGCGCTCTCACCCACAGCGCTCTAACACACATCACACTCAGCGCTCTCACACACATCACACTCACACACAATAATATCCGTTATATACACACACTCACTAGATCTCCTACACATTCTGGATCCCTTATACACACACTGGATTCCTTGTAAACAAATACATACTACACCCCTAAACACACGCTCTACAAACACTAAATCACCTAAATATACACATACACACACACACTATAGCCTGTGTGCACACACTTACTACATCCCCTATACACACATTCTCTACAGCCCCTAGCCACATATGCATTACATTACACCAAAAACACAACACGACTAAAACCGACCTTATTACACAATACCACACCACAATCAGCTCACTCTACACACACGCAATCCCACAAGCAGGCTCCAAACACATGCACAATACTCTTTCCTGGCCCTTTTGTCTCCTGGTATCCATTTATAGAGACACCAGAGACAAGTTGAAAGGAAACAGAGTGCAAGCATGTTATTAAATTTGCTTGCACTGTGCAGAACAAATACAGGGATTTTTTTTTTTAATCATGCTAGAGCTCTTTAGCAGAGCTCTGCGCATGGTCTTCCCTGGAAGAGCATTGAACCAACATGCTCACTTTGAGAGGGGGCGTGTTTGTCATTGGTGATGACGAAACAAACCCTCTCTGCCCCTTCTTAGTGGGCCGCTGTGATAAAAAAATGACCGGGCCTAATTTTTCCCCCAGTATGGTCCTGATCGCTCGGTTTACACTAGGGATTCCTGATAGGCTAGAGGCTGTTTGGCTCTGGCAGCCTTGAGTGCTGTGCAAAGGCACCCTGAGTGCCATAGGTTGCTGACCCATGTTCTATATAGGGGTGTGGACCAGTAGAGAGGGTTCTTTGGGAGCATTTTTAGAAAGGGAACAATAAGAGAATGTTTGACATCTTTGTCATTTAGGCCGGTCAGTGTATGGTATGACTGTTTTTTATTAGGCTGTAAACCTTAAGACACACATTGTGTACAACACAAATATAGACTACAACTACCATATAATCACAGTAAAAGCCACAGTAATGAAGGCTTGGCACTTACTGACGGATAAAGTCAGATATCCATAGAAAAGAAAATGATGCTTCTGTTTTGCTAATCAAAAAAAAAGTAACATTTTAAAACATTTAGAATTTTTTTTTTTTTTTTTAAATAGTGACACTAACTTCAAAAGTAGATACTACTGTAAACCTCCTAAACGTGCTGCTAAAGTTGGAGAGGAAAGTATTGGTATATTTGTTCCACTAAGGAAACTATTTTGTTTGACTGAATAAAAAGGTATTTTTAACAATTTTTTTTGTTAAGTGCCTCCATGACACCTTTATATTTCAATCTTTCATTCAATACATGTTCACCGTGGTCCAGCACACATTATTTGGGAATTCTGTGTGTGAAATCTCTATACAATGTTATTTATCTACATGTATGAGAGAGATTGACATCATAATGAATCCAACATTGCATCTCGAGCGATTGATTTAACAACATTTAAGAGAAAGCCTAACTACATAATGAATACATTACATCCAGTGCTAGTTGGCCTCAGAGTCACGGAGCCATTGTAATCAGTCATAACACTTTTACGAGTGACATATTCATTTTTTAATGCAATCTGGTTGCCCTGTCTCAAGGCTGAAAGCAAGCCGTTGAGTCAAAAAAATAAAAGTGGTTCATACTATATGGTTTATAGGACTGTGCTACTCTATAAAAGATGGATTGCTTTATATTGCAGGTGCATTAGTGGGGAATTAAATGCAGCCATTGTGAATGCCTCATACGGGTGATTTAGGCATGCTATCATGTGCCTTTATATATGTCTTTCTATGAGACCATAAATATCTCTTTATCATGGAAACAGGAAATGTGTGTGTGTATATATGGGTATTTCTGCACCGCTTAGGCTGGAAGTTAAAGGTTAAATTGTTTTGAAAATCTAACTGCGTCTCCAGGATTTATATGATACATTTAGAGTTAGATGTGCATACTGAGCAGTGCATCTTCCATGGGTAACTGTTGTCACAAAAATCATTAATACACATGGGTGTAGTCATTACAGAAAGTAATCTCAGGCAAGCGGCATTAAGTATGATAGCTTTCCGATCTACAGTTATATAGAGACAACGCTATTGCTACTTAGCCCATAGCAACCTAGCTAACACAAACAGATGGTAGGCTCATACCCTTGCAGTGCGTGAGAGCATCTGCTTTAAAGAGACACTCCAGGCTTCTGAACAACGACTGTGCCTCTTACAGAGCATCATGTACATAAGTAAATATATGTAATAAAAATAAAAAGAACACTTCGTCTCCCTGTAATCTTTGAGAACCTAAGAAAAAGCATAATAAATTGCACTTTGATAAGCATGTCTATGAGTGGTCCATGATCCAGCTGATGATCTGGTCTTGACCACCACTGCAATAGTGTTAACGCTGTAACGCTGGTTAAGAAATAATGCTCACAAAGGAGCCTTCTGTACAAGCAGTGCAGTACCTGGGCTGGGGTGTTGGGTTAGGTGTATGATGCATAAGAATAACTTTTCGAGACTTCAACCAGCACACATGTGCTGCAGGCAGTGAACCTTCCATCAATCTTCTCCTTCTATGGCTACTATCCAGGAAAACCATGGCGCATGGGCATTTAGACTGTACAGTATGGGAGAAGGAATGAGAGTCAGGGAGATGGAGTAAAACCTTGGTGAAGAAATTAATATCTCTGCCAGGTGAAGATCAGCTATGGAGCACAGAGAAAGGTAAAATAGCTTTGTACTATGAAACCAAACATATATTGAGAATTGATCGGGAACGAGGGTTAACATATAGGCATGCAGGTGTGGCGGTTGTCAGACATTTAGAATTATGTCACATATACTTGCATTCCTTCTATATAGGAAAATGTCTTCCATCACTGATCATTCAGGAGTATGATGTCCCCACTTTCACCAAGTTTGAAGCAGCTGCCCTTGTGAACGCTCTGAATAGAGCGTGATTATTGTCACATCTGGAATACTGGCCTGGCCGTGGCTCAGGCTTTCTCAGTGACTAAGAGTCTGCAGGCTGAACTACATCCTACTTGGGTAAAGCTCACTGCTGGATGCTGCAAATCCTGGGACTTTGCAGTAACTGCTGTATCTTCAACAGTGAATTTTTTGTTTTTTTGTTCTTACTTTTCTGTGCTTCCTTAAAAACGCATTTTCTAAACAATGCATCAAACTGGGGACCAATGGCAGTTTGGATTGCACCTTTAAAGGGGCACTATAGACACCCAGATCACTTCTTCTCAAAGTGGTCTGGGTGCCACGACCCCCTGTTTTAACTGCAAATGAAAACATTGCTGTTTTGCAGGATTTAAATGCCTATAGAGTGACAGCCACTAAAGGCTCTTCCACAGAAATAGTTTAATAAAACTAGACTTTGTCTATCAGATGGTCTCCTATAGAACATCGATCTTGATGATCTCAGCCTAGGAGGTGGGAAAGCAGCAAGGAGACTGGCGTGGCTAGGTAGAAAAGGTAACTAAAAGACCTTTTTTACTCCCTACTGGTGGGGATTGTGGGCTAAACGGCTACCAGGGCACTATAAAGTTAGGAATATCCATTTGTGTTCCTTGTGCTATAGTGTTTCTTTAAAGTGACAGTATTACTTTTGAGTTTATTATACATTTATTTACACATAACTGTGAAAGCATGAAGATGATGCACCGCTTGGTAACTTCATCTAACTTGCAGGTACAAACTGAGCCGGATTAACCATTAGGCAACCAAGACAGCTTCCTAGAGCTGGTCTCAGACAGGGTCTGAGCCAGCCTTTTTGAGCCAGCAGGGAGATAAAAATATCTCCCAGCATGGCCCTGCACTCACTCACTTAATTGAGGCAGAGTTGTGGTGTGTACCAATATTGGGTATAGACCACAATAGGAGAGCCCTTGCAAACTCGATGACTCAGTGTGCCAAAGCCAGAACACTCTTAAAGTGGTTTGTACCTGATATTGGTTTGCACCTGATATTGGTACAGATGATGGATCTCCCCCGCTGGACTCAGGATTCGGCTTATTCTCCACTCGACCACCAGGGAAGTTAAGCAAGATTAGGGGCAAAGTATACACACATCACTCAGTCTCCCCATGCAGCTCCCGGGCTCTTCTACACATGCAACACTCAGCCATTTCACACACGCACTACTCACAGAAACTGAGCCCAGGACTCTAGGAAAGGGGCCGTTCTGGCACCCTCCCTAGGGCTCTGAGCAACCTTAATTCGGCTCTGGGAACAAGATGGAGATTTTCAGTTAACTATATTTCCTTTTCCAATCATCATCATGCAAACAGATACATCTCCTGAGTGTCTTCTCAAAAACGCAAGACCCTACAAGTGCAGTATTGCCTTAACAGACCTAGTTACATGAAAAGGGATATGTGTTCATCAAGTTCAGCTTTTTTCACATCTGTTTTTGCTGTTGATACAAAAGAAGACAGAAAAAAAAAGTTTGAAGTGCTTCCCAATCTATTACACCACAGATTAAAAATGATATCCCTGAATATGTATTTAAGTATTCATCCAGTAGCTGTTTAAACATCTGTATAGACTCTGACAAAACCACCTCTTCAGGCAGAGAATTCCACATCCTTATTGTTCTTACTGTAAAAAAAACTTTTGGTTTCCTTAGTCTTTCTCCTTTCTTCCAGTCTAAATGCATGACCTGCATAGTCCTGTTTATGAATAGATTTCCAGACAATGTTTTTTTTTTTTTAGTTTTTTTATTAGCCTTGAATATATTTGTATAATGCTATCATATTGCCTCTGCAATAGTTTTCCATAATATCCTACTTTAGAACATGTTCCCAAAATTGCACAGCATATTTAAGATGTGGTTTATAAAGAGGCCAAATTATATTTATATTTTCATCCCAATAATTAACGCCCCTTTTTATACATGACACTGTATAGTCTTATTGTCTTATGTTCCATATATATTATTTTATTTTAACTTAAATCTAATTCCAACAGAGTTTAACGGGCGAATTCATTAAATGACGTTGGGCGAAAGATTATCAGGGTTATTTATTAATGTGAAAGGAGTTCACAGAGAATTACAAACCTAAGGATAAAGCTGCACTGGCAGCATAGCTGACCAGGAGAATTTTCCAATTTGGCTATTTTGGTATAAAATAATAAAAGTAAAATTCACTTTTTATTCACTTTGCATTGCCAACAATTTTCACTTTAGTGCCCAAAGAGTAGGTCCCCAGATGTTGTAAAACTAGAACTCTCATGATGCCTTGTCTCTCTAATCTAAAGGCATGCGAAGCATAATGGGAATTGTAGTTCTACAAAATCTGTGAATCTACCTTTTGGGCGCCCCTGCCTTAGTGAATAACCCTGTATGGATTTCAAAGGAAGGCGACTGAGCTTCTCCCTTTAACATGTTTTATTTCTTTGGTGTAAAGAGAACCACTAGAATGAACTGCTGATCGTTGCATGTTGTATTAGCTACTGGATGAGCCTTGGTCTCCTGTTCAGTGTGTCTGTATTCTTTTTGACTGTTTTCCTGAGCTGCCCGCGCATCTCACATAAGTTTTTTCTTGGGTTGGAAGAAGCTTGTAGCTGACAATATTTTCAGAACAAAATTTTATTCTGAGAAAAAAGAAAACAAAAAGCAAAATTGAGCTTGAATAGTTTCTCTATTTCTTACATTTTAAAATTCACATCAATAACATTTGTATCAGTCACCCCTTAAACTTGAAGCTGGGGATAAGGGGCAAAAGGAAATCATGGCAAAAAGAAATATATTCACCATATAGCCAATAAATATAATGAAATATGACTGTGTATTTTATTATTATTATTTTTTTTAGGGAAATGGTATGTTACTTACTTCTGTTGGGATTCTCCTGATTTGACAGTGATTTCCTTCAGTAGGAGTCCAGGTCTATCTGACTCCGGAGTCCATATTGTTTGAATTGACTCCAATATATTGGACCAGACATCTACTCCCTCCCACTTCATCTTCACCATCATCAAATTCCCAATGTCTTCCTCCAGAGTAATGAGAAATGAATATGTTTTGGTTTCATTCATTGCCTCGATTCTGTTGGTTGTAAAGTAAGGATACAAATATATATAGATAAGCCAAAGGTTTTGAAATCATAATGCTTAAAGCTCCAAGCTCCATAACCACTATAGAATGCCATAGTGATTATGGTCCCAGGAATGCACTGGCACCAATCTCCCCTAGTGCAAGTAGTCACCATTTTAGAATGGGATAGTTTCTCTGCTGGTCGCCACCCCACTGCTGGTCGCCACCCCACTCAAGGGGCCAGAAGATCCCTGTCTGAGCTAAGGCAGGTAATACAGAGTTTATATCATTGACTGAGAGTGATCAGATGATGCTCCCAGCCATTGGGCTAGCACTGTCCTGCAGTGGAAGAATATTCCTAAGAAGGAGCTTCTGGCTTTTCTGACTTCTGGGAAGAGGCGGAAAGTGGTGCCCAGCGGACATCGTGTATAAACTGTTCTAAACCGGTTTAACTACAATTAACATTGTAATGTTTAGGGCACCCAGCCATTCCTGGCACCATAAGTAATAAAGTGTTCTGCAGTGCTTATTGTACTTGGAGTATTCCAATTAAGCATAATGGAATAGAAAATTATATGAATCAATTAAACATTATATACTGTAAATTACCAGTATCAGCTTTTTCGTGTAATACTGGACTTTTATTAACCAAATTTAAAATCGAATTGTTTTAATTAAAAAAAGTTATGTGTAATTAGCTCATGTATTTTTTTATTGTTCATTGATGAACTAGCACACATACAAAAAAATATATATTTTTTGATGAGTGTATAGGTTTGTGTGTATACACACACAACATACCATTGCAATCAAAATTATTCAACCCCCCTTTAAAATAAGGTTTATTGTCAAAATGTACAGACTTTCAGCTGTTTGCAATGAACAAATCAAACAAAAGCAATTGAAATAGCTCGACACAAAAAATACTTCAAGTAGTTTCCGCAAAATTAAACTTAGAACTGAAAATGCAACTTATAATGACTTCTCCAGTGTCAAAAATATTCAATCCCTTCATGGCAAGCAACTTTAGCACTTAGTAGAGCACTCTTTTGCTGTTATTCCCGGTAACCACTGTTCCTTCAACTTTGAACTTACGAACCATGCTTCCAACGGTGTCTCTAGGAACATTCAGTGCCTTCGCTATCTTTTTGTATCCTGTTCCTTTTTTGTGAAGGGCGATGATCTCTTCTCTTAACTTTGTGGGCCATTCTTTTGACTTATGCTTATACATATTTCTTACATGCAGTCAAACATGACACTCCTCAAACCCCTTGCCAGCTGAGGTATTTCAAGTGTTCCGGCTCAAGCACTCCTGGTGCAACTAAAGAAGCCCTTGATTAGTTGCATCAGGTGTGCTTGAGACATCACCTGTTTTGCGTATTTGTGCTGTTTTGAGGGATTCTATCCAGGGGGTTGAATAATTTTAAGAATGGAGACGTCATTATTTGTTTTATTTTATCATTTATTTTTGTGTGTGTGTGTGTGTATGTATATATATATATCTATATATCTTTTACTTTCTGTTCCTGTGTATAAGCCTATAAGCCTCCTATCTTTCTGAGCTTCTTTCTGCTCCTCCCTTATATGGTGTCAGAATACCTGTTCCTTTTTACTCACTTGACCATAGGTTTTCACAGTATTGGGCAAAAGGTGGCAAGTATGCATTCCTTGAATATTGTCTTTCCTTTAATTTTAATGGTGTCTAAAAGTGACAGTTCTTGTTCATTTGATGCCTTTGCTTAATAATGGAAACCTATCTTGGGCTTGTGTTTCTCTGTCTCTATTATGTATTGTACAGTGTATTGAAGTGATTATGGTGCCTAGTGTGTCCTTTTGAAGCTTTTCTGTAAGATTTCTGCATTTTTACATCCTGCCAACGAACTAAAAGTTACCTAAGTATTGTATTCAGTAATCTTTACTGAACTTGGGGAATGAGGACCTGCCACTTTCCAAAAGGTGTCAGTTCTTCTTTAATACTCACGGTACAAGTTCCAGATTCAACGCATCTTTTAATGTTCCTATCAGGGATACTGTGAATTTTGGATCTAGTTGTTTTTCGAGTTGGTTAAGAACATTAATCTTGATTTGGTAATGGAAAACTGTAAAAACAAAACATATACAAGAATTCAAGAAATATAGAGCCAAATGCCAAGTTTGTGAAAAGATGTGTAAAATACTAGTTGTGGAGTTATGGAGATAGATGATGATATGATGAAAACAATGTTTTTTTAAGTTAGTCTGACCTCCATATATTTCAAGGTTAAAAGTGAAACATTCGGCTGGTGTTGTGATTGCCTTGTGTGTGTACCCTACCACTGTCAGTGACTCTTGCCTTGGCCTTTATATTAACCAGCCGGCAGCACAAGAAGAATGGGCTAGAGTGGATGTCTTGCAGATAACCCTTGACAATGAAATACAGAGAGCAAGTTAGCAGGTTATTTTTTTGCCCCCAAGACTATCCATGTGCAGGTTTTAATTATCAACGAACTGTTTTTCCCCAAGCAAGTTTTTCTTGTACAACAAGTTCA